ATAGCTTCGCACACCTTCACCTTGTCAGTAGCCTTACTCCCCCTGAATGCAACTCTTCCCTTGGCTTTGGTTTTTTTCAAGCACGAGGCGATGACCTTCAGCAGCTCAACCAGCTGCACCCCTATCTGCTTCAGCTCGTTTGTCTCATCCATGCTAGCTCTCTTTGACTCCCCCTCGACGATACATCCCTTCTCAGTAGTTTGTGCTGCAACTTTCTCCCATGACACAACAAGTACTTGCCACAGCTCGTTCTCCGAGTTCCACTCATCACGCAGCTCCCAAATCACTTTGCTCCCGAACCTTCCTATGAAGCGTCCAGCTCTGCTCTCGGTGTTCACTTCGACGACAGCCAACTTCCTTAGCGATATCAAGTTATATGACATTTCTGGTACAAACAGCACTTTCTCAATCACAATCGGCTTCCCTTCAGCTCCCAAAAATGCAGCCCTTCCAGCACCCATCACTCTCATTGCATGTCCAGATCCGGACTTAACCTCCGAGATAGGTGCTGCACCAATACTCTTCAATAGTTCCGCACACGGTATCATTGACCATGCTGCCCCAGTGTCCAAGATCCATGTGCATCGCCAAGATCCGTTTCGTGCACCTTTTGCACGTGCTGTTTCTCCAACCACTACATGAAAGAACTGCCCTGCTGCCCTTCTTTCATATTGATCCATTTCCCTTGCACGATCCGCTACCATGTTGAGACCGTTCTTATCGCCTTCGTCTCGGTCATTATTCAGGTAACTAGGGTTCGACGAGTCAGGCTGTTTGTGACACTGAAACCAAGCGTGTCCTGGCCTTTGACAGTACCAGCAGCTTCCCCCAAAGCCTCCAAGTCCAGCTCCTTAGTGACCTCGCTCTGCAGCTTCATTAGTCCAGCTTCCATGATTTCGGGCGTTGTCTCTGTTCCCGACAAACTCGTCATGTCCGTTCCCAAGCTCTTCTTCTACTTCAGACTCTCGCCGCTTGGTCATGTTGCTGTAACGCCTCTCGCCCTTCGAGCTTTTGAACCCGATGCGCCTACATCTCCAATTGCTTCCCTGCATGCCGAAACCACCATTGCCGTCGTCCGCATTGCTCATCTGACGCCTTCGAAAATCCTCCTCTAAGATCTTGCTCCTCACCCATTCGAGAGTCCAAAGCCCCTGGTTCTGTAGGAGGCTTAACCCACTCGTAAATTGCAGCCATGATTCGGGCAGCAACGACAGCATTTTCAAACACTTCACATGTTCGGGATACACTACATTGGCAATCGTTAGCTTCGCGTATGTGTCTCGCATTCTATCAAGAACAGGCTGTAGTGGCTCCCTTTCACTCACTCGCAACAAGGACAGCTCCCGTTCCAACATTGCTGTAGCTGTAATTGATGTTGGGGCGTGCAGGTTCTTGAGCACAGCCCACGCTTTCGGTCCACATTCCGCTTCCTCGAGCAGGTGCATGATGTGCGCCCGCTGATTCGACTCCAAGCTTTGTGAAAGTAGGTAGTACCCCACAGACGCTCGTTCATCCCGTTCTTCTTGCAAGGCTGGATCCGTCCATCTTTCTTCCTTGCCGTTCATCAACCTGATGACTCCCACATGCCTGAAGTACAGCTGCATTTTCCACGCCCAGTGATCATATCCCGTGCCGTTAAACTTATCAACCGAGAAGTTCTTCAACACTTCCTTTATCAGGGACCCCTGGCTGGTTCTCGCCATCCTTGGCGACGACACCCCTGTTGCTTGGCCTCCACTGCCTTCTTGGCTTGAAGACCCTTCTGCTCCATTCTTACCCATGGCGTTCTAACGGCAACGACGTAGTAACCCGAGCTCTGATACCACTTGTTACCCTTAAGACGTACTAAACTAGCTACTAACGATCTTTAGCTACTAACGATCTTTAGGTGACACTAGAACACTCTCCTCGGGGTCACCTCCGAGGGTCCTTGGGTGCCTAACTGAGGTCAGCCCCTATCCAAGGGTCCGAGTGTGTAGTGAGAGAGTCATAGCAACAGCTAAAGTGTAGTAGCAATCGTCGCTTCCTCGGCGTTGTCAAGAGAATTCACTATGGCAGCGTACTTGCAACAGGCACAGGAGAAATCCTTCACTCGAGTTATTTGAGAATAGCAAGAACACACAGTCCTTTCTATTCTAGCTTATTCTATTCTTCAACTTCGCAGTCTCGTTTTTCGTAGCGCAAACCCTTTCGAGTTTCCCTCTCTTTGTTTTGTAACTTGGCGGGCTCTCGATTCGTCGCTGAAACAATTTGAAAGTTGAGCGCAAAGAATTCCAACGGTGCCGATTCGAACATTACTATTCGCGCCATCTGCGAAGAGTTACGATGAAGACCGTTCTGTCAAACTTATATATGCTATAGTCTATTTAGGCTGTAGTGGGGTAGTCCTTAGAGGGTACAACACTTTTGTGTTTGCTACTTGTACCCGACCTGTTTCCTAGTTCACTCATTCCTCTCATAATTCTCACATGGTATAAAGCAGGTTCCCTAGTGGAACAGTTTTTTTTAAGGGCCCACCACTAACCTTTTTTTTCTGCCCTGCCCGAATCGCATGGTCATGGACGTCGCTCGTACGTCCATGATCCATGCGGCTGCTCCCCATTTTCTATGGCCGTTCGCGGTTCAGTACGCTGCGCGTCAGATCAACCTTCAGCCTCGTGTCTCCCTGCCGGAGACTACACCTACTCTGCGGTGGACGGGGAAGGTTGGCGATGCGTCCGCGTTTCGTGTCTGGGGATCTCGAGCTTTTGTCCGCGATACTACAGCGGACAAGCTGTCCTCCCGTGCCATTCCCTGTGTCTTCCTTGGCTTCCATCTTGACGCACCCGGGTGGCAGTTCTACCACCCCACCTCGCGTCGTGTTCTATCCTCTCAGGACGTCACGTTTGACGAGTCGGTGTCGTACTACCGTCTCTTTCCCTACCACACTGCCTCTCTCCCCCCCCCCGCCGCTCTTCCTCGCACCAAGTACTCCCCCGGTAGACCCCCTCCCCCCCCAGGGTCCTGCCTCCTCAGGTGTGTCCCAGGTAGACCCTGCCGAGCCGGTCGAGGTAGCTGTCGACTCAGGTGCTGCTAGGGGTGCTGAGCCTGCGGGTGCGGGGACTGGGGGTGCTGAGACTGGGGGTGCTGAGACTGGGGGTGCTGAGTCTGGGGGGTGCTGAGTCTGGGCGTGCTGAGCCTGGGGGTGCGGAGCCTGAGGGTACTGTGTCTGGAGGTGCTGAGCCTGCGCATGCTGAGTCTGGAGGTGCTCTAGGTGTCCCGTCGCGGCGGGAGCCCCTCTCTCCACAGCGGCTTCGTGAGTGGTACTCTCGGCGCTGTCGAGGTGCTGCTGGTGCTGGAGGTGCTACTGGAGTTACTGGAGGTACTGCTAGTGCTGGAGCTGCTGGAAATGCTGCTGGTAGTGCTGCTGCTGGAGCTGCTGGAGGTGCTGCTGAAGCTACTGGAGGTGCTGGCGCTGCAGGAGGTGCTGCTGGTGCTGGAGCTGCTGGAGGTGCTGCTGGTGTTGGAGCTGCTGGAGGTGCTGCTGGAGCTGCTGGAGGTGCTGCTGGTGCTGCTGCTGCTGGAGCTGCTGGAGGTGCTGCTGGAGCTACTGGAGGTGCTGGCGCTGCTGGCGGTGCTGCTGGTGCTGGAGCTGCTGGAGGTGCTGCTGGTGTTGGAGCTGCTGGAGGTGCTACAGGTGCTGCTGGTGCTGGAGCTTCTGGTGCTGCTGGAGCTGCTGGAGGTGCTGCTGAGACTGGAGACCCTGGGGCTGAGGGTACCGGTTCTGTCTGTGCTGTTTCTGGAGGCGCTGCGCGGCTGCGGCCGTACTACGTTCCGCTCCTTCAGCAGGTTCTTGGCTCCCCGCCTTCTCCTGGTCCTCCTCCTCCTTTCCTGAGTCCACCCCTTGTCCAGTCCCAGTCGCAGTTGCAGCCGCCCTCTCCGCTGCCTGGTCCTTCTCCTTACACTGGACCGACTAGAGGTGTTACGGAGCGTCGTGAGCCTGAGTCTCGTCCTGTATCGCCTGCGTCTCGTTCTGAGTCGCCTGTCCGTACTGTTCGTGCTGGTCGTGTTTCGCGTCCGCGTCTTCCTTCTGTCCCAAGCACTCACTCTATGACACTGCGTCCTTCCACTGCTCCACAGCGTGTCCCTCTGCCGTCTCCTCCTGCGTCCTCTCTTCCTGACGGTCCGGACCTGGAGTCTGACTCCCTTCGTGCTGCTAGTCCTACTGTCACGCGCTTTCTGGCCACTGCTGTCACTGACCCTCTGTTTGAGTCCTCTACTGCGTCCGCTCTTGCTGATGAGCTTGTTGACTTTGCTGCAGCCTGTCGCCTAGACTACGCCACTAGTCTTGTTGCTGAGTCCGCGTTTGTGTCAGTCTGTCCTCCGTCCGTCGGGGGTGAGTGTGCTCTTGGCACGGACGTTCTTGAGGACAGACAGGAGGAGTTTGAGTGCTTTGCTGCTTCTGTACCTCATCTCGTGTCCATGCTGCTGGCCCCTGAGGGAGACCCGGATGCACTAGACATCCCGACCCCGCGCTCTTACGCAGAGGCAATAGAGGGTCCCTACTCCTCTCAGTGGCAGGCAGCCATGGACGCAGAGATGGCTTCCTGGAAGTCCACAGGCACCTACGTAGACGAGGTTCCCCCACCTGGGGCGAACATCGTCAGTGGCATGTGGATCTTCAGGGTGAAGCGGCCTCCGGGTTCTCCGCCTGCCTTCAAGGCGCGTTACGTTGCACGTGGCTTCAGTCAGCGACAGGGAGTTGACTTCTTTCAGACCTTCTCTCCTACCCCGAAGATGACCACTCTTCGGGTACTGCTGCACGTTGCTGATCAGCTTGACTATGAGCTCCACTCGCTTGACTTCAGCACAGCCTTCCTACAGGGCAGCCTGCACGAGGAGATCTGGCTGCGCCGCCCACCTGGCTTCACTGGGTCGTTTCCTGCTGGTACCTAGTGGAGCCTCCGGCGGCCAGTCTACGGTCTCCGCTAGGCACCCCGTGAGTGGCACGACACACTCAGGATGACTCTTGCTTCTCTTGGTTTTGCTCCTTCCACTGCTGACCCTTCTCTGTTTCTACGCACGGACAACACTCTGCCGTCGTTCTACGTTCTCGTGTACGTAGACGACCTCGTCTTTGCTACTGCTAACACTGAGGCACTCGCCCACGTGAAGTCCGAGCTGCAGAAGAGACACACGTGCACAGACCTGGGTGAGCTGACAAGCTATCTTGGCTTGCGGATCACCCGGGACAGAGCATTGCGCACCATTACCTTGACTCAGTCACACATGGTGCAGCAGGTCCTTCAGCGCTTCGGCTTCACGTACTCCTCGCCACAGTCCACTCCTCTGCCTACCGGACACTCGCTCTCAGCTCCACCTTCGGACGAGTCCGTAGAGCCGAGTGGCCCGTATCCAGAGCTTGTGGGCTGCCTCATGTACCTGATGACTTGCACACGACCTGACCTCGCATACCCTCTCAGCCTTCTGGCTCGCTACGTGGCTCCCGGCAGGCACCGAAAGGTGCACAAGGATGCTGCGAAGAGGGTGTTGCGCTACTTGTGCAGTACATCGGGCATGGGGCTCGTGCTTGGAGGACGAGCTCGAGTTGTCCTCACTGGTCACGCAGACGCTTCCTGGGTTGACGACTTGGCTACGCAGCGGTCGTCACAGGGTTACACCTTCAGTCTTGGCTCCGGTTCTGTCTCTTGGCGGTCTACCCGCTCTTCTTCTGTTCTCAGCTCGAGTTGTGAGGCTGAGATCTACGCTGGGGCCATGGCTGCACAGGAGCTACGCTGGCTCACCTACCTGCTGACCGACTTGGGAGAGGCGCCTCGTTCTGCTCCAGTTCTGTACGTCGACAACAAGGCCATGCTGGCCTTGTGTCAGGAGCACAGATTGGAGCACAGAACGAAGCACATTGCTCTGCGCTACTTCCTTGCTCGAGAGTTGCAGCAGCGTGGCCAGCTTCGTCTTGCTTACGTGTCCTCTCAGGCCAACACTGCTGATGTTTTCACCAAGTCACTTCAGCCTTGTGATCATCAGCGTTTCTGTACTGTATTAGGCCTTGTACCTACTGTGCCTCACTTGCTGACTTCTTGACTCTGCTTGTACTGTACTCTATATACTTATACCTACATGCTTACACTTGCTAGGTTGTGTTCACTGTATTGTTTGCTTTCCTTTATATAACTCTGCATGTGACCTGGCCTTGTGGCCCTTTGCTTGTGCTCAGACTGCGTGGTGACTTTGTGATCCACCCTGAGCTTGCTTTGCCTTCTTGACTGGTCTTGTGACCCCTTGTTCTCCCCCACTTTGCCTATGGGGGTGTGTCAAACTTATATATGCTATAGTCTATTTAGGCTGTAGTGGGGTAGTCCTTAGAAGGTACAACACTTTTGTGTTTGCTACTTGTACCCCACCTGTTTCCTAGTTCACTCATTCCTCTCATAATTCTCACACGTTCAAACTTTGCGCAAGAGGAAATGTCTGTGGCTATCAACCGAACTTTTGATCGCCCAACTGCTGCTCGCCCACGTGTGTCTCGTTCCAAACGCACTGTCGATCCGAACTGTGAGAGCTGTTAAAAAGCGTGAGTAATGGGACTCACTCGAACATCTCGTGGATCTCGCCACCTGCACTCGAAACGATTCGCGGGCATACGACGCTCGCGTTACTGAACACGCTAATGAATGCGCTAATGAACACAATAATGAACACGCTAATGAACGCGCTAATGAACATGATAATGAACACGCTAATGAACGCGTTACAAACACGCTCGCTAATGAACACGCTGCCCGATCAGTAACCAATCCTCCTCCTCGAACAGTGGCAGCGCGAGCAGCCGCTCGCTTGAACTCATGAGCAACTGCCATTTCGAACAGTAGCCAATCAGGACCACCAAAACAGTTTGCTCAAAAACAAAAAGGTCAAACTAACTCTTTGAACACCACCAGTTGCTCCCATTGGTCGAGACCAGCTTTTACTTCACCTCGATTGTACCAAACTCGCTGCTCCATTCAGCTGCAGCTAGAAAACCTGTATCGTAACCCAAAATTGGCAGATTGAATTACAGAAAAGTATTTCTGTAATCAACAAAACTCCCCCTCAATCTGCCAATTTTACGCCACTCACCCTCTGCTGCTGACTTGTCCTCTCCCCAACCGGTTAATCAATGCTCAATTGTTTGAACTCTCACCTATGCCTTTTGCGCACGCTGCTCCAGCCACCTCACAACTAAGACAACGTAAGCCCCATAATCCTTGCCGCTTCATCAAACACCCCTGGCTTGTTCCCATCGGCTATCTCAACAATCCGCTTCTGCCCTGACAATCCCATGCAGCTTCATCATGTACCCAACAGCTTTCGCACTTCTTGCGTTTGTTATCCCGTTCAGTGCTCCACCACTCCCACACGATCCAAGCTTAATTGAGTCACTGTTCCCCTCGTTTCTCCTTCGATGTTGCTGAAAATTCAACATTACCTCCCACCATTTCTCGCACCCACTGCACCAGCTTCTTGGACATGGTAACCAATGCCAATGCATCCTGGCTCCCCACGGATTCACCAGTGCCAGTCGCCCTTTCTGTTTCATCCCCGTCAGTGGGACTCACTCGACCATCTCGTGGATCTCGCCACCTGCACTCGAAACGATTCGCGAGCATATGACGCTCGCGTTACTGAACACGCTAATGAACGCGCTAATGAACACGATAACGAACACGCTAATGAACGCGCTAATGAACATGATAATGAACACGCTAATGAACTTGCTAACGAACACGCTTGCTAATGAACATGTCTAACTTACATATAGCTTACATCAATGAAGGTTGTAGTGGGGTAGCCCATAAGGGGTACAACCCAATTAGGGTTAGTACTTGTACCCAACTGTTTCAGAGCAGGTTCTCCGCTAGGACTGTTCTTCCTTAGGCCCGTCGCCCTGCGGCCCGTAGCCCGTCACCCCGCGGCCTATCACCCCTTGGCCCCGCGGCCTGTTGCCCCTAGGCCCTCGGCCCCTCGGCCCCTTTCTCGTCGCCCCGCGGCCCGTCGCCCCTAGGCCTCGCGGACCGTCGCCCCTAGGCCTCCGGCCCCTCGGCCCGTTTCTCGTCGCCCCGCGGCCCGTCGCCCCTAGGCCCCGCGGCCCGTCGCCCCTAGGACTCGCGGCCCATCGCCTTTTGGCCCCTCAAGGCCCATCGCTCCTGGCCCCGCGGCCCGTCGTTCCTCGCCCCGCGGCCCGTCTCCCCTAGGCCCCCGGCCCCTTGGCCCGTTGCTCCTGGCCCCGCGGCCCGTCGCCCCTAGGCCCCGCGGACCATCGCCCCTAGGCACCCGGCCCCTCACTCCTCGCCCTGCGGCCCATCGCACCAAGGCCACGCGGCCCTTTTGCCCTTAGGCCCCCCCAAGGCCCGTCGTTCCTCGCCTTGCGGCCTGTTGCCCCTAGGCCCCCAGCCCCTCCGCCTTTCGTTCCTGGCCCCGCGGCCCGTCACCCCTAGGCCCCCGACCACTCGGCCCGTTGCTCCAGGCCCCACCGCCCATCGCCCCTAGGCTAGGCCCGGCCCCTAGGCCCGTCGTCCCAGGCCCCGCGGCCCGTCGCCCCTAGGCCTCGTGGCTCTGCGCCGCTATGGCTTCGCTTCGAGTTCTCACGCTCGATCATGAGGGCAGACCGATTGAGTTTGACACGTGGCTCGACGACCTGCAGCTGATGTCAAAATTTTGTATAGCTTATATAGTGTAGGCTATAGTGGGGTAGCCCATAAGGGGTACAACCCAATTAGGGTTAGTACTTGTACCCAACTCTTTGCTAGTTCATTCATTCTCGTTCATTCTTCTGACATGGTTTCAGAGCAGGTCCTTCACTAGGACCGGTTTTTTTTTCCTTGGGCCCACCACAGCGCTACCCCGCTAGCCGCCCCTCGCGACCCTCGTGCCGTGCCTCCTGCCCCTAGCGCCGCCCTTGTGCGGGTTGCCCGTTGCCCCTAGGCACGTCGACCCCCGGCCCGTCGCCCCTAGTCGACCCCTGGCCCGTCGCCCTTGGCCCATCGACCCGGCCCGTCGCCCGTCGCCCCTCCTAGGACCCGCGGCTCGTCGCCCCTCCTAGGACCTGCGGCTTGTCGACCTGACTCTCTTTGCTCTCTCAGTGACCACTTTCTCTCGCTTGACCCCACCTCCCTAATTGTTGACCGACTTGAGCAGCACCTCCTCACAGCTGAGACTAGAGCAGTTGCTTTAGGTGCTGCTCGTGGCACTAAGTGCCCGCCCTTCTTTGAGGGGTGCTCCCCCTACCCCCTTGCCCCCTCCTACGCCTCTGCTGCTACTGCAGACGTCCCTGGTGCTGAGGACGTCGGGGCTTCTTCTGCTAGTGCGAAGGGCTGCAGCGGCAAGGGCAAGGGTAGCAGGGGTGGTGGAAAGGGCAGCGGGAGTGGTGGTGGGGGCAGTAGTGGAGGTAGTGGAGGCAGTGGAGGAGGTGGCAGCGGTGGGAGTGGTGGCGGGAATGGGGGCGTTGGTGGCGGCGGTGGAGGCAGCGGTGGGAGTGGCGGTAGTGGCGGCGGTGGGACTGGTGGCGGTAGGAATGGCGCTCGGCGTGGAGGTTCAGGATGTGGCCAGCGGCAGCAGCAGCAGCAGCAGCGTCCAAGCGAGACCCAGTCGCCTCAGCAGCTTCGTGAGTGGTCGTTTCAGCGTGGGACCTCTGGGGGTAGTGATAGCTGCGCGTATGTCATTCGCACGGGTGATGGTACTGGCCAGACATGCGGGAGGCTTCACACTCAACACCGATGTTTCTCCCGCCTTGACGACGCTTGGCGTGCAGAGTTTGGTGACGAGGTCGAGCGCCCTCGCTGGGCAGATCTGCTTAGGTCAGGAGTTGCTATCTTTGACCTAGACTTTGATGTTTTTCTTTCTGCTATGTATGCTTTGTCTACCAGTGCTGAGGGTGACTGTTACCGGTGTGTGCCGCCTGACCCAGGTATAGCCGCTACTGCTCTAGGTGCTAGTGAGTCTGTTCTCCCTGGTACTGCGCCTGCTGAGGCCTTGCATACCTTCACGCTGGACTCAGGTGCCTCAAGCTGTTTCTTTCGTGACAGCACCACTCTCACTCCGCTCCCTGCATCTGTCCCGGACCGACAGGCTGACCCCTCCGGGGGCCCACTCCTTGCCCATTCCTCCATTGTCCTCCCTTGTCCGGCGGTTCCATCCGGCTCACTCTCAGGTCTTCACCTCCCCTCGTTCTCTGCGAACTTGGTGAGTACCGCTGCCCTCCAGGATGCGATGGTCACTACCACCACTCCTGGGGGTCAGCGTGTGTCGATCTGCACGTGTACACGGACGGGTCGTCACGTGGCCACGTTCACTCGTCGGCCAGGGTCGAGTCTATACACACTGGCTACCAAGCCTCCTCAGGTAGTTGTGTCTGCTCAGGTGTCAGCGTCAGGTCAGGTAGCACCCCCTTGCTCCTGTCGCCTCCTGTCGCACCACACTCTTCTGTGGCACCACTGCTTGGGTCACCCCTCCCTACCACGCCTTCGTGGCGTGCACTCCCATCTCCTTGTCTTTGGTCTTCCCAGGTCTCTGCCTCCCCTCCCGCCCTCGACTTCCCCGCCCTGCCTTCCTTGCGTCAAGGGGCGGCAGCGCGCCACTCCTCACTCCTCCTCGTTTCCCCCGACGATTGCTCCCCTGCAGACTCTCCACATGGACGTGTGGGGCCCAGCCCGCGTTAGTGGACAAGGCCGCGAGCGCTACTTTCTACTGGTTGTTGACGACTACACGCGGTACACCATGGTCTTCCCCTTGCACAGCAAGGGTCAGGTCGTTGATGTCTTGATCCCTTGGATCCACAGAGTCTGTCTCCATCTCCGCGAGCGGTTCAGTACATACCTCCCTGTCCTACGTCTGCACTCTGATAGAGGTGGTGAGTTCTCCTCCGACCTCTTAAGGGACTTTTGTCGTGGAGAGGGCATTCTCCAGTCGTTCATGCTTCCGGACTCCCCTCAGCAAAATGGGATTGCTGAGCGCCGCATTGGCTTAGTCATGGAGGTCGCTCGTACCTCCATGATCCATGCAGCTGCTCCCCATTTTCTGTGGCCATTTGGGGTCCGGTACGCTGC